CAAACTAACGAGAAATGAACGGATAAAAACGAACAAATTATAACAAGGGAAAATCAGCCATTAACCCGATTCCCACGAATCTACACGCACAAGTGGTCGGATCATCGACATGAAACCAACACTTAGACTCGACTCCCAGTTCCCATTGCTTAAGCTTTCTCTTTCAAGATAACTTACGAATGATTCTCACTCGATGGTACTAAACAGAAACTCATAACGAGTGCACTGCTATAGACCAAACTTAACTCGATAACACCAACCCAAAAAGTCGCAACAAACACTTCTAAAGTTGGAACTTAACTCTATACCACTAGAGTTCAAGTCCGTACAAACGGAGGGTAAATTCCTAAGCCCCAATAAAAGAACAAACCATAATCACGTTATCGACAATAATCAAAACAACAAAACTCATACCTTGAGCTGGCGCGGCGTGACGAAGCGAGTGGTCGAATGGTCATTAAACACTTAATCACATATGAACCAGTCTACAGAAAAGCAAGACTGGCTCTGATACCAAACTGTAACGCCCCGTTTTATTTTAAGCAATTTACCGAATTTATTTGATAAAAATCAGAGTTATTTTTTTTTTTAAATCTAAATTAAAACATTTATCAAGAAACGGGCGCTACTTACTAACCACAACAAATGAACACATCCAATCAATCAATCCAGAGAACCTAAACATGCTTGAGCTATGAAAATAAACAATCTCATAAAACATAAACCTCAAAATCATTCCCAAACATCTAGCATGAATGAAGGTTCAAACGAAACTCAAACATAGTTCGAAGACAAATAAATAAATAATCCGAAGTATTTGAAAGAAAATAAAATAAGCAACAAGTTCATGCGGAAGCATAAGATATCATCAAACAGTGACCACCATCTCGCTCGTCCTACGCCACCGCCTCCAGCTCGTCTCAACCTAGAACAAAGGAAGAGAAGACGACGACAAGAAAAAATAATGGGGGTGAGCAACCAACAAGCTCACCATTATCGCACAATTATCCCGTATAGTTATTTTTAAAAGCAGTATCACGGTAAACAGTTTCAGTATCGGTATGCACAGAATTCATAGCCTAAACCCCCTACCCAGCCCTATCGCAAACCTCCTATGTACATACAACAACCTTCCGGATACAACAGCATGGCTGTAACTGGAAACATTCCCACCCTCGGTACAACGGCATGGCTGTAACTGGAAATATTCCCACCCCCGGTACAACGGTTCGCAGGATCCTTTCCAGGAGACAGTAGAGATGTTTTTCCCCTTCCGGATACGACGACATGGGGCGTCCCTCCCGGATACAACGGGCAGGCGACCTCCTACTGCTTTCGCATTCATCAAGGCACTAGCGTTCGGGACACTTAGACTAGAGTTCTCATGCATACAAAAATTTTCAAAAGAAACATTACACGAAATAAGGAGTGCGATAATTATGGATACAACACAAATGTACCCACCTGGTTGCAGCGACAGATCTCAAACACGAATCTCACAAGCAGGACGAGGTCAACACCTCTAGATACCTACATTAAGTCCAGATACTAAAGTCAACGCTTTATCTAGACCTAAGTAGAAATCACAAATTTGACCTAGTCGAACTTGATTCGACTAAGTGGTTCGTGAAGTTCTGTGGATATGGGAACACTAGGACTTAGACTCGATCAAACCACATATTCGATTCCACGCAATATCAAATAATAGAATATCAAACGAGTCACAAGCAAACACATAACAAATTCGGTCAACAACACTTAACGCATTTCAACATAGAGAAACAATTTCTCAAATTCACACTTGAATTAGAAGGCATATCAAATCAATGAGTTAGGCTCTGAAAATTTTACACAAAATTCACCTCCTAATTTTAAGAAAAATGGCCAAGTTTCAGCTTCCAACTCATTGTACATGATTTCATAAAATTCAAACAAGTTTTTCAAAAAACGAGTTTAAATTAAAAGCACCTGATAATGGACGATTCAAGCTATGAAATTTTTATCTAAAATACTACAGCATATGAACAGCATCACATAAATTTTCCAGCCTTCAACACTCAGGATATCAATTTATAAAAATTAAAACAACATTCAGCCAAATATCACAATTATATCAAAATTGGTCACAAATGAACTCCAAAAATTCCAGAATTTATAGAGCATGCTAAACATCACATAAAATAAGTACTTATACAAATTTTCAGAATTTTTCAGCTCCAGAACAATTTATAATAATTAAAACAAATTTCGGGCAGAATCACAAAATAATTTGTTAGCCCTATCAAACCTAGTTTAAAAATTCTAAAACTTTTACACAACATATAATCAAGCCTGAAACATAACATATTCGAAAATTGGCCAGAAAAGAACACTACACAATTAATTATGCATTTTACAAGAAACTGAACAGAAAACAAAATAATTTTTAAAAATAGTTCCAGACCTTCAAAAATTATGAAAATTTTACATAAGCTATATGTTTATCAGAGACAGCTGCTCCTAAAATATCAAGACAATCGGACTAGTATTCAATTTATAATGAATTTTACATTCAAAACAGCCATTATAAACTTCGAAAAATCATAACGGCAAATATACATCTCCAATCGACACAAGGCCAACGCCATTGTGTTCGTAACAATCCTAAGTTCCCAAATCCACAGCAACTAATCACTTATACTCAGTTCTCGCTCGATTCGCACGAATCGACGAGTGTCACATAAAATAGCGAATATAAATATACAACGAACAATTTCAAACACATATGTATAGTTCGATGAACTCGTAAAGCACAACCGATCACAACATAATTCACATAAAACTAAACGAGAAGTCGAGACTCGATACCGTTCTCGGGAAACGAGCGAGAAAGGTTCGAACGAGAGAAGACGGCTCGACGGGGCTCGACGGCTTCTCGCGGCTCGCCGAGGAGAGAGCTGCGGTGGTCCTTCTCGATTGCGGGGTTGCTGCGATGGCCGAGGCATCCCGTCGGAAGTGCTGCTGCGAAGGAGGAGCTCGCCGGAATTTGCTGAAGCTCGCCGGAGTTCACGCACAGGGGTCGCCGGAGGAAAGGTTGTCGTCACCGCGAAGATGGGCTCGTCGGGGTCTGCTGGTCGCGGACGGGAAGTGGTTTCGCTGCAGAGGGTTGCGCGGAGGAGGAGCTCTCGTCGTCGGGGTTGCAGTGGCTATGGAGGTTCGCCGAAGAAGGGCTCGCAACAGGTTTCACACGAACAGGGGCGACGGTTTTTTTCTTTTCCTATCGCTGCACGATATCTGAGAGGAGAGAGGGATCTGCGGGGCGGATTTAAAAGAGAGAGCGAGAGAGATTTGCGATGGCGAGTAATTTTCTTTCTGTCCAGCGTCATCGAGAACGACGAAGGAAGAAGGATAAAGACGAGGCTGCGGGAATTTTCTGATTCGCGATGGAGGGAGAGAGAGAGATAGATGCTGAGAGATGAGAGAACGAGAGAAAAAGCTGCGGGTCGCGTTTTGGAGAGGGAGAGAGATACAACACTAATAAATATATACACACGCTTAGGTTTAGGAGTTCTTGATTTCCAAGAAATCTCACTAGACTCACGCACGCGGATTAGGGAGAGCACAATCGGGCCGGGTTCTGGGCTAGATGGGCCGGTCTTGGAACAATGAATCGGTTCACGGGCCCGGGTTCGGTTCACGCGGGTATTTTCGGGCTCGATTAAAACGCACGATTAATAAATTCGGGTCTCGGGCCCGATTCAATCACACGAAAATAAATTCAGCTCTCGGGCTCGGGTTCTCCGATTACTAATTTAGACAGCTCAAATCGATTGCACGGCAAATAAACAAAACTCCGGACAATATAAATTAAATACGTACATTATTTTAAAATACTAATATTATAAATCAAAATATACAATTAGCAATTAATTGACAATTAGACATATAATAACTAGGCATTCAATTTGGCAAGCAATAATAAATAATATCACATCACAATAATAATAAACATCCATAATAATAATAATAATAATACTTCAGATAAACCACAAATAAATGGGGCATTACATTTGCTCATTTGTTAGGGGGATCAAACTAGTCACCTCGGCCGATAAACACTTGGGCAAGCTCGGTATGGAACGTCAGCTTCATCTTATTCGTTGGGAAGCCCCTGGGTTTGGATTTGTTAAAATCAATACGGATGGGTCTTTTTTGACTTTGTCTGGAATGGCGTCGGTCGGGGGTTTGATTCGGGATACCAACGGAGATGGCTTGGGGGATTTGTGATGAATATCGGTTTCTGTTCCTTCAAGGGAGCCGAGTTGTGGGGCCTCTTCCAAGGCCTATTACTTGCTTGGGAGCTGGGTTATAGAAAGATTCTTATCGACGTCGACAATAAGAGTGTGGTCTCAATGGCGAATGGGGATTCCTCAGAGAATCTTGGAGTGCATGGCAGCATGGTTTGGGCCATCCGGGAGTTGCTTAACCAGGACTGGGCGGCTAGAGTGACCCATTGTTATAGAGAAGCTAACTTCGCAGCTGACTGTTTGGCGACTCTAGCACATCAATACCCTAGTGGTTGCCAACGTTCCTTAGACCCACCATCGGTAGTTAAACCGTGGATACAATATGACCTTATTGGCGTCGCTTATCCGCGGAACATAATTACCTGAGGGTCCTAGGCTTTTGCCTCCTCTCGTTGTACCAAAAAAAAAAAAAAAAAAAAAAAAAAAAAAAAGATATTAGGGAGAAATTAATTCCAAAACTTGCATTTCATATGTTCCTCCACATTAAATATGTAGGAGTGGTCCCTATCTGCATAATAGAAAATTCACCTCCAAAAGATGCTACCTAATCCACTAAATGAAAGACACCTGGACGTCTTAGATTAAAATTTATAAACTCCTCAACTAAACAAGATCTAAACACGTGTCCCCTAATTAATTACCATTGAGAAGTCAAAATTCACTTCAAATCCCTAGTTTCACCACACCCGACCATCTTCTCTTCATCTTCAATCTCCGGCTTCTCTACGCCAATCTCCAATCTCTCCTCATTTCCGGCCAATATCTCTTTTTCCACATTCTAATTCATCACAGAACAAGTTCAGCTCCGCCCTCCTCCAGGTTTCTAGTGTTNAAGAAACGGGCTGACCCGCCGAGCCCGCGGCCCGTGGCGGGGGGCGGGTTTTGCCGGCATTTTACAGGCCAGGCCCTCCCCGCCCCGCCCCGCCAAAAGGCGAGCTTTGGGGGGCTACGGGCCGGCCCATTTTGACAGCTCTAGTATCGTAGCTCTTTTCGAAAGAAATCCAAAGGCATCTCTCGATCATAGATTCGATCTCCTAATAATCAGAAAACGTTACTAGAGTTTCTGCAGAACGTTATGAAAGGATCAACCGACGCTTTCCGACAACCCGGTTGTCCAAATTTGATGGAGTGAACACTCGTTTTGCTTCTCGTTTCATAGGCAACAGAGCCTTTAATTTGAAGTGTCAAGTTTTACGTTTTTTTTTTTTAATTTTTTTTTGTTAAGATATGAATAATTCAACATCTTTTAAATAAAATAAAATATAATTTATAATCGTATTTTGTTAAAAATTTTAAGTGAGGATATTCTAGTAATTAAATAAACGTGTTTTTCTTTTTTAATTATTTATCAGATAATTTACTCCCACCATATCTTCTTGAGCGAACACAGATGGATACTTATACACTGTAGAAGTGTAGATCACCGCCACCAATCTCACCGTTGTCATCCTCGTCAGAAGTTCTGATTACGATTTGCCGAGTTTGTTCTGATTATGATTTGCTGGTTTGATTTTTTCTAATCGGTAGAATGCTTTTAATATTCTTTGAGGATTTTCCTATGTTTTAGATTTTGGATTCTAATTACCCTTTTCCTATGTTGATGATTAATGAAGAATGGCTGAGCTGATGGCTGAAATGCATGCTAAATACATTCTATCAGTTGAAAAAGTAAGCCAATATTCGTTTTATTGTGTTCATAGTTTTTTTTTTTTTTTTTACTCTCTTTTCAGATGGAACTAGAAATGACCTTCTTTTCATGTGGTTTTTTCATATAAATATGCTTAAATTCGAATAATCAGTTATATGTTTGATCCCTTATAATTGTTCAAGTTTAGCATTGCCTTTGTATATTAAGCTTCATTGATGTGCTGGTCAAATGCTTGCTTGTTTAATGCCGATCATACTAAGAGTGGTGAAATTATTTCAATTACGAGAACAATACCCTTATACTCGTTTCGAATCACTCGAGAAGGCATGTCGTCTAGTTTCAGCATTATCCGCAGTAAGGTCAAATACTTGCTTGTTTAATGCCGATCAATGTATCTACCCTCAAGGATGTGCCAACATTATCGTGTCTATTATTTCTTGATGTTATGGTCCGTTATTCACTTAATACTATTCGGTACTTATTCTCCTCAGAGAAAGGATGATTTTGAATCAGTGGCGATGGAGCACCTGCGAATGAATGGCGCTTATTGGGGTTTGACAACTCTTGATATTTTAGGAAAGCTTGATGCTGTTGATCAAGATGAAGTCGTTTCATGGGTCATGCAGTGCCAGCATGAATCTGGTTTGTATTCCTATGTCGAAATTTATCATATTAAAAATGTAGCTTATATGTTTCATAGTATACAAAAATGAGTATTAATGGGTACTCGCTTATGAATGAGTTTACATAAGTGACCTAATCTTCCTTCATCTTCTTGTTTGTGTATTATTTAACTTTGCCAGCAATTGTTCATTGAAGTGTGAGCCAAGGTGCTGATTATGGTTGTGCGCTTTTGGTAAATTTGGTATTACACTTTATATGTCTTGCAGGTGGTTTTGGTGGGAATATAGGACATGATCCCCATGTATTATATACGCTCAGTGCTATTCAGGTCTTAGCCCTGTTTGACAAGATAGTTGTTCTTGACGTCGAGAAGGTTGCCAACTGTATCTTTCAATTTTGACTTTTGATCTTCGAAATAGTTCTTCAAGTGACCTTAAAAATGATAAATGTGAAGAGTCTAAAAGGCCATGTCATAGTGCATCTGAGTTTCAACTGGCTGTTAACAGTGTATGACGGTGGTTTCTCATTCCCAAACACCTGGATATTGCTGTTTTTGTTTGGATGACAGTTTTTGTTGCTTATTGCTGTAAATCTTTTCCTTTTCTCTCACTCATAGCAAAAATAAAATAAAATAAAATGGTATATGTGGAAAAAGAAGTACCTTAACCTACTTGCTAGATATTGCCAGCCTGCAAAATGACGATGGCTCCTTTAACGGTGACATATGGGGTGAAGTTGATACAAGGTATCCTTTCCCCATATTTCTGCCTCTGAATGCTACTCTTTATTCTTGTTATAATATTTTCATGTGTATTGTCATTTTCAATATTATACCATAGCTAATTATTTTTCAGGTTTTCTTATACTGCTATATGCTCTCTTGCATTATTACGTCGTTTGGACAAAATAGATGTGGAAAAAGCTGTGGACTACATCGTGAGTTGCAAGAATTTGGATGGTGGGTTTGGATGCACTCCAGGAGCAGAATCTCATGCCGGACAAAGTATATATTATGTCTTAATGCTGCTCAGATACTAGTGGATTGTTACTAATAATATAAGTCATCTACCACAACTCTACAGATGCAAAACATTTTACACAGACACAATGAAGCTTTTATGATAATGAAGTACTAGTGCACATAGCATCTAAATGATTGGCCGATAGCCGATAGGCAAACCGAAGGAAGAAATATTAATGTCATAAACCACCTAAAAACGTATTCACAGAAGCACACATATGAAACAGAATCCAATGACTAATTGAACATCTAAATTTGGTAGACATTTTAAGATTGCAACCCCACCCCTAGCTAATTTATTTATCTGTATAAGCTTATAGCTATGGTATTCAGTATTGAGTTTTGTCACGGTTTAGTATTAATTGACCAAGAACTTCTCAAACTGTCTATTGCAGTTTTCTGTTGTGTGGGGGCTCTTGCTATCACTAATTCGTTGCATCATGTTGACAAGGATCTCTTGGCATGGTGGTTATGCGAACGACAAGTAAAATCAGGAGGTCTAAATGGAAGGCCTGAAAAGCTTCCCGATGTAGGTCACGGTTTTTAGTTTATATTTCACATTGTCATATGAAAAGAAAGCAAAGAGAAAAAAAAAAAAAATTATCAATTGTCAAGAGCACGTTTGATCGATTACCTGCTTTAACTTCAGGTCTGCTACTCATGGTGGGTCCTCTCCAGTTTAATCATGATTGATAGAGTTCACTGGATTGACAAGGAAAAGCTGGTTAAGTTCATCTTGGATTGTCAGGTGTTACATTTGAGATTGATTTATGCATTTTTAGTTGGTATTTGGAGGCATGGTTTTTAAATTCTGGTTACCATCAAAATAAAGGAACAAAATGGTGCAGGATAAGGAGAATGGTGGGATTTCAGATAGGCCAGACGATGCAGTCGATGTCTTTCACACTTATTTTGGTGTTGCTGGTAAGATTGAGTCCTTTAATCCCTTTATTAAAACTTCTTATTATAACCTTAATTATGCATTGGAGGAGTTATGAAACCTTGCTTACCTGTTTTTAGTGTTTGCGTCTTCAAATTTGTGATTTTCTCGTATCATGATTCATAGGCCTGTCCCTTCTTGAATATTCGGGAGTGAAAGCTATAGATCCGGCGTATGCATTGCCAGTTGACGTTATAAATCGAATCCTCGTTGGCAGATAAATGTAACAGCTCATTCAACTCTCCACCGATTAAAATCATTAACAATATCAGCTAGGCAATTAATATTGTGCTGCTCTAAACTCAGGTAGTCTGTGGTTGCTGATTGCTACATGAAGTCTGGAAATATTAGTAATGTTGCAGAACATAAGTCCAGTTTAAATGAATTTATTGTATGATATTGTTATTGTTCAGCTCTTGATGCGCATGTGGTTTAACTTTAGATCAGATCCTATTGAGCTCAAATGATTATTTTAGTTCACTTTTATGTTTAATTAAAGTTGCAGTGGAGCTGGAGTTTGATATGCTTTCTCAACACTGGATCATGCTACATGTTCTTCTGAATGTGTTTAAAGTATGTTCTTGCTGAAATTTTAAATCTACCAAGTGATAAAGGGAATGCAGGTCGTTTAAGTCACTGTGAATACGATTGTTATATGAGTGTTAATAATTACCGCACCCATTTTTACTATTTACCGCACCCTAAAAATACTGTTTTGCCCTTACTAAAAAATAATAATAAAAAATTCAATTTTTAATTTTTTTTAACATTAAAAAAAAATATAATTCTTACAAATTGATAAATGTGGCCAATCAAAAGAATGTTATAACACAAAATTCGAAAAAAAAAAAATCATAAAATTCGAACAAAATTAAAAAAAAAAAAAA